CGCCCTCTATGAGCCTTCCTCACCTTCCTCCTCTTCCTCCTTCGCCCTCCGGCATTCCCGGGATGCGGCCTTGGGCCAGGGCATGAAGGTGCTGCTGTCCTGCCATGTCCTGTCCCGTCCGCAGCCAGCCAGGGTCACCCGTGCACACCTTCATCCCCTCCTGCACATCTTCATCACCCTCTGTGCCCACTCTTCATTCACCCTTGACCCTGTGCTCACCTCCATCCCCTTCCCCATGTTTTCATTGTCCTCTGCGCACTGTAATGCCATGCCGCACACCTTCATCCTCCTCTTCCTTCCCATCCTGACATCTTCATCTCCCTCCAAACACCCTCTTCCCTTTCCTCATCCTCACACACACACACACACACACTCTCTCAGTCCCCTGCATCCCACCAATGTGCAGATTCCCTGTTTCACGCACCCCATGGTGCCCAGGATGGGAATTCAGCCCACGCTGTTGGGATTTCTCAAGGGAATTCAGCCAGGATCCACGCCATGGTCACTTCCTCTGAGCGAGCTGATGGGTGGTAATGCGCTAAGCCACAGCAAGCAGATCACATACAAATCCCTGGCCATGACCCAGCCTGACCATCGGGAGCTGCAGCCCCAAAAGGGGCAAAAGCCCCAGTCCCCCTGGGCCTCCACAGGGCTGTGCCACAGTACCCAAAACCCCCAGAGATAAACCAGGGTGAGGAATCCTCCCAGCGCCCTGCTGGGACAAGGGATGTTCTTTGCATCCCGTTCCTTCCAGAAACATATTTTTCTAATTTTCACCATGAACTCGGTTGTATTCAAGCGTTTTGGGACAAGACAGCCAATGCTTCAGCCCGTGAAGCGACGGGCTCTGAGGCATCCAGCGCATTCAGCAATTGTGTGTGATTCATAAAGCCATATCGCATTCTTCCACCCTTGGCCTGCTGCTAACTTGTAAGAAATCTGGACCAAAAACTGCAACAAAATGGCTGCTATTCTCCAAGGGCTGCTCAGAGCCTCGTTACTCATCCCTTACTTGGGCAAAAATGACATTGAGTGCTCCTGGAGATGACAGCCTTAATTGAGTTCAATAGGAGTTTAGGCTGAGTAAGGCATGAGCAAACAAGTGTGCATTAGCCCATGAATAAAATCCTGATCCACAAATGTTTAGGAACACATGTAACCCTGAGCAGGGGAGGGCTGAGGGGGTCCCTGCTGCTCTGGCCTTGCCATTTGGGCAGGGGTCTGGCTGCAGCATCCAGCACAACTGATGGCGATGCTGGGATGAGCTTGTTCAGGAGTGCAAAGATTCAAGGCTGGCTCAGTGGTTTGTTTCCATTCTGCCTCTTAATTTTTATTTATTTTCTTCCTTCAGAAGTCCATAGTCCTTGTTTCTGCTATTTTTCTGTCCACTGGTGGGAACAGCAACTTCCTTTCTCAAATTATAATATAAAAGAGCTGCAAGCTGCAACGCCATAAATAATATTTTCTTATGGCCAGAACATCCAAGTCTAGGCAACACACCAAGAACAGCTACAACATTGTAAAACTCCAACACTTCTCCAGAATGGATTCACTAATTAAAAAATTACTCCTTTTAAAAAGCGGTTGAAAAATATTGGCTTTCCCATTGCTGCATCGAGAAGCCCATTCTGCAAAGCCACAGCTGAGCTCACCAGTCTGCCTTTCCCCCTAAAAAATGGTACCAAATAAATAGAAGGGGAGGGGGAGGGAAGAGAAGAACACCTCATGGCAATCACTTCTTTAACTGATTAAAGTTCTGCCACTTCAAAGCTGGAGAGAGATCCCCAGGGCTGGGGCCAGGGCAGCTCACTGGGAACCAAACATCTCCAGCGGTTCCATTGCTGGACAAGGAGTTTCCCAGTGCTGGTCTCCCCTCCCACAGCCCCCAGCATGTACCAGCCCTTCCCTCCTCAGGTGCTTTCCCAGTGGGGCTTTTGCCTCCTGAAACCCACAGAAATATCTGTCAGCCCCCCAAAGAGAGCAGGGCTCAGAGCTGGGTGCATGGAGCCCCCCAAATCCCCTCTGCAAAAGAGGGAGAAGCCAGTGGTTGAAGAGCCCCCATGTCCACCTTGCTGCTCAGCTCTGGACCAGCATCTTTGCACCCATCAGGGCAGGATGGGGACGAACCACAGAGAGAGCCACCAGCGCTGCAGGGACACAGGTCCTGGCTGGGATGGGCTCAGCAGCGAGGTGGGGCCTTATTTTCTTCCTCCCCTTTGCCTTATAAGCACCTCTGCAAAAATAAAACTCATTTCCCAGGAGGTTCCCTTGAGGAGCTGACGACAGTCGCCTCTGGCCACTGGCCATGCTTGTGCCCCTGCACGAGCACTTTGTGGGGTTAAATCCACGCCTACAGCACCAGCCCAGAGCCAGCACCCCTAAAACAACCTCCGAACCCTCAAAATCCCACACTGCAGGGAAAACACCATCCCTGGGGATTGAGGAAACCCTTTCTCCAAGGAACACACACACTTTGGACTCAAGCACCATTGATAAGGCTCTTTCTTCTTCTTCTTTTTTTTTTTTTTTTATCTTTTCTTGCAGCGAGCATTCCTTTCACACCCACGCACACCCCGGCACCCTCAGCCATTGGCCTGCCGGCACATCCGTCACACTTTCCGCCGGCCAGAGCAGATCCACATTTCAACTGCTTCCATCCCTCATCTCCTCTGGTGTTAACAGCCAGCGCAAACAAAGGGCCCGAACATCCATCGCCCCATTAAATTGTTTTCATTTGTTTCTTCTGCCACAGTTGGTTTGCGTTAGAGGGTTTGTAAAAGGGATTTGGGGTGGGCGGCTGATGCAGCGGCTGCTCTGGCTTTGGGTGACACTGCAAGGGACACCCAGGACAGGGATTCTGCTCTGCCACGGGTGGCAGGCCAGGGAAACCTGCAAGCAACAGCGGGCAAATGGAAAATGGAAAGTTTTTGGGTAAGGGGAGGGAGAATCAACCCAGGGAGCAGCTGGGATAACAGCAGACAGAATGTGGGGAGCCCAAAGCCCTCTCTCTCACCCGGCTGCTTCTTTTCTCCTTGCACTGGAGGAAATGGGGACAAGCATTGCCTCAACCGTGAGCTGAGCTCGTCCCGATTTCAAACAGATGTTGGGCCTGTGGCTGGATTTGGGCAGAAAGCTCCTGCTTTCCCCACATTTGCTGGCCATACCTCGTCAGGGATGCTGGCCCCGAACTGCTGTGGCTGGTTCTGCCTTTAGCTCACAAAGTGTTCCCTGAGCTCAATGTGTGGGTGATGGATGATGTCCCACATGGGCTGGCTTGTCCCCAAGCTGTCCACCTCTGCCTGCCCCACCACGAGAATCATGAAGGCCAGATTCATACAGCTGGGGAAGAGCTCCACTCCCATGTGCAAAGCCTCTGGGGCAGATGTTCACCAGTGGTCCAGCAGCTCATGGTGCCCCTGTCACTGTCATCTGTCCTCAGCTCCAGACTCAGCCCACAGTGCTGTTGCGACACTGCCCGGAGAGGATGAGCATCCCTCTTGCACAACCACATCCATCTCATCCATCTGCTCCTCAGCCTTTCTGCCTCTCAGCTGCATTGATCTGGGGGCTCATATCACCCCCAGAAGGGGGGAACAATCCCTTTGTGTCCTGGGAAGGGAATCCCACACGGTTCTGGAGTCAGTGTGTGAGCTGAGCAGGTGAGACACAGCACCAGAGAGCTGAGGATGCCATCTCAGGGCTCCTTGGCACGTCCCTGTTTTTCTCACCACTGAATTAATCAGATTTGTTTGTGCAGCCAAATCCTCACCCCATAACTGGTGGAACTGGGGGCATGAGCTGCCCTGCTCCCTGTGAGCTGCTTTTGTTCAGCATCTCCCCATCAATGCGAGACAGGGGATGGCACCTTCTGCCCACCTCCTCTCATGAACAGAGAGCACCAGCTCTGGGGACACCTGGGGCACGTGAGGGGCACGGCAGAGCAAAGGGGCAGCGAGGGTTGAGGGCACGGGGAGCCCAGCAGGGCCCGTCTGGGTGCTGAGCGTGACTCAGCACCGCGCCACGCCTCGTGAGTCACTCACTGCTTCCTGGTGCACCCTGAGTTTTCTCTTCCAGGTCCCTCCTGGCAGCCCTGGCCCAGCTGGGCCACCTGCCAGCAATGCAAGCTCTGCCTCACGTGCCTGCCAGCCCTCCTCTGCTGGCACTGTCACCCCTCGGCACGTGCCCGCGTGCTGCCAGTGCCAGGCTGCTCCTCAGGGCCCCAAATCCCTAAAAAGCAAATTCTGGGCAGTGAGGTGAGACCCAGTGGGTACAAACACACCATGGGCAATAGCCATCCACTCACACCAGGGCAAAATGGGGCAAAAGAGGGGTTTTGTGCCCGGTGGGCAATGAGCTGGCATGGGGGGTTTAGCTGGGAGCTTAGGCAGAGCCCACCTGCATGTGGGCAGGGATGAGGAAACACAAAGTGAGGAGACCACCTACCCCCTTCTCACTGGGAGACTGAGCATAAACCTTTAGAAACAAACAACCAACCCCAAAACCAAACAAAAACAGACAAACAAAAAACCCAAAAAAAAAAAAGCGGGGGAGAGGGCAGATGAGTTTCCAGGATCTGAGTCCAACAAAGGGATGAGACAGGGATTGCAGTCAGCCTCATCTGCTGAATATGAATTCACCTCCAGCCTGGCTCTGCCATCACCCCATCCCAGCAATTTGCCCCGAATTTACCCGGAGAGGCAGCGTGGCTGCAGCTGGGTGAGCATCCCACAGCACCCAGCGGGCACCAGGTGCCTCGAACAACCCCAGGAGGAGCCAGGGCTGCAGGAAGGTGGAAATGCAGGGAATGGAGCAGGACAGGGATGCAGGAGCATCCTCGGGGCACTGGCAGCAGCCCCAGTGGCCCCGGTGACCCTGTGGTCCCAGCAGCCCCAGTGGTCCTGGTAGTCCTTGCAGCCCCAGTGGTCCCAGTGGTCCCAGTGGTCCTGGTGGCCCCAGTGGTCCCCGTGGTCCCAGTAGTCCCAGCAGCCCCAGTGGCCCCAGTGGTCCCAGTGCAGGTGCTACTCGCAGGCCAGCTTCCCATCGAAGCTGGAGAGGGCGATGGCGAAGGCCTGCACGGCGCACAGGGGGTAGTTGTAGTCCATGGTGAAGGCATCATCCGCCACACGCCCAAACTGCATCACGATGTAGTCAGCTGTGGGAGAGAGGGGAGAGCCGCCAGGCTGTCACCTGTGCACCCACCTGCCCACATGGCAGAGGCCCAAAGAAGCTGCCCACATACCCCCACCCAAACTCAGCCTGTGGCTCCTGTGCTGTGCTGCAGCACAGAACACCAAAAAGCATCACTTTCCCATGGCACCCTCTGGTGCTTCCAGCACCCCCTTTCCTGGGTGCCACAGCCCCCCAAGGGACAGGGACCCCACTCACTCCACCCCCCCTGCCCGTGGGATGGCTGCTGCACGAGGGCGGGTGACAGGAAATCTGTAAAAATAACCAGGGGCCCTCAAGAGGCTTTTTCTGTCCCGTAACCCAACACCCCGGAGGCCAAGGGCTTCTGACTGCGCCGGACAGGTGACGAGCAGCCGCATCCAGGCAGAGCTGCTGCCGCCCCTCAGCTCAGGGACTGTCCCCGAGGCACAGGGCACCCCAGCAGCGTGTGCTGGGGACAATGCTCTGGGCTGGGTGGGTAATGGGGGCTCAGCACCCACAGGATCTGTCCCTGCCCTAAATCTGCCCGGCAGAGCCCCACACGCTGCCCCTGCCAGCGCCCAAGCTCCTGCAGGGAGCCCTGTCTGGCTTCATCCCAGCTCCAGCAAAGGCAGGCAGGACTCCAGAGCATGAAAAAAACTGAATTTCAGCAAAAACAGTGGGTGCTGGGGCCAGCTCACGAGGCAGTGCTCCTCCAACCCATCCCCTGTCCCAGCTTACGGTCACTGCTGTGCACGATCTGGAAATTTTTGACGGAGGCGTGGGTGACACGGCCGTGGAAATTGAGGACGTAGGACTGGGTCTCATCGTTCCACACCGGGGCTTTGTTGTGCAGCTCGATCACGTTGTCCATGTTCCTGTTCTGCCATCGCATCAGGAGGCCGTCGTTATCCTGGGGAGGGGAGCAGATTTGGGGGGACCCCTCCAGAGCCCTGCCACCTCCTGTGGCATCCTGGGGGATGCTCTGGAACAGGACCCAGCTGGAAATGGGATCGGAAAAACCCAGACACCATGTCTCCCACCTCCCAGGGACACTTTGAATTTCAGGGACACCTGAAAGCCTCTCCATGCCCCAAGATGGGTAAAACCCAAAGTGGTGCCCAGCAAACCCAGCTCCCAAGGAGTTTCTCCCAGTCTAGCCCTGACTTACATTCCGGGGCCGGATGGGCACCCTCTCACAGTCAGCATTCATGCCAGGGATGATGACAGTCATCTTCCTGGGGCCTTTGAACCCTAAAACGTTGGTTTCCTGCAAGAGAAACCATGTCCCTAAAACCAGGAACCACTGCAGGTTTCAGCCTCCCATGGGGGCTAAACGAGGGCTTGGAGGTGGCTCCAGCCCATCCCACACATCTGCAAGCCCCAGTGAAGGGGTGCAGGGTGGGAACCCCTCTCTCCCTGCCCAGGGGAGGTGGGAAGGGGCTCCTGTGGGGCTGCTCTTACGTAGACCACGGCCGAGAGCTCCTGCCGCACGTTGGACCAGTCGGCGTTGGCCCTGTCGGGGTTGGCGCCGTTGTCGAACACGGTGAACCTCGTTCCCATCAGGTTGGATCTGCAGCCAAGGGTGGGACATGGCCGTGGCTCAGGTGATGCCACTGAGTCCCCTCTGCCCCCTCTGTGACCTCTCTCCAAGCACAGCCTTGGTTTTGGTTTGGCTGCAAACCCCTGGTGCAGCTCCCCACTAATCCTGACCTTCCCACACTCCAGTGGTTTCCTTGGGTTCAAGGAGCCCCCAAATCAGGGTGTGATAGGGTGCTGCCACTACGGGGACCCCCAGCATTGCTGTGGGGCTGCTGGCAGGGCGGGCTGGGACTTGCCAGGTGCCTTTTCTAGCCATGACCTGTCTGCTGGGAGGAACCGGCCGAGCTTGTTTTCCCCTCTCAGCCCCCCACCACTCCTCAGGTCAGACACAGCAGGGGGAAATGCTGAATTAACCTCCTGTCTGTGCCAGCCATGGCTTGGGACAGCCTGTAAGCTGTGGAGTGGGGAGAGGGTGCTGCAGAAATGTGGTGCCACCAAGCTGGGGTGCCACCAAGCTGGGGTGCCAGCTCCGCTCCTACCTCAGCTTCCCGATGAAGTTCTCTCCACCCCGCGACAGGTCGGTGGGGTCGATGGAGATGAGGTAGTTGGAGGTTTTGCTCTTCTTACGCTTTCTCCCAGCAAGGAGGAACACCTGGGTAGAGCAGTGTGGGAATGGGACATTGTGACTGCCATCACCACTGCTGTCCCCAACAAGTCACTGCCATGACCTTGAGCAAGTCATGAAGATGATCCCCAAAATACTGCCTGCATTGCAGGGCAGGAGGGACTGAGCCCAGCCCAGCTTTAGTGGCTCTCCAGCTCTGTCAGCTCATCCTCCCAGGCACAGGAGCTGCAGGAGAGGGGAGCAGCCCCATTCAGAACCCACCAGCACATGAGGATGCAGGCGAGCATCCCCCCAAACCCTGAGAGTGCTCTCTGGGATGGCTGCAGACCCCCAGGGGTCTCCATGGCCCCAGCCCAAATCACCTTTTTGTCATTGTCCAGGTGCAGGTAGTAGGTGGGGTAGAGCCCCCTGTCCATGCCCTTCTTGTCCCGTGTCACCCGGCACTTGACGGTGACGCCCTGCGGCGCCGGCTGCAGCACAAACTCCTCCAGGTTCTCCACCTCGATCACAGGGGACGGGGGCCTCTCCTCCTTCTGCTGCAGGGTGAGAGGGGATGGTGGGCTCAGAGACCCCTCCCTTCCTCCCCAGCTCATTGCTCCTTGCTATCCATCCCCCATGGCTCTGCAGCTGGTGGCTTTGGGGACACTCTGGTGGCTTTCACTGGAGGATGCTGCAAACCTCCTGATCTGCCCTGAGGGGTTGCCCATGGCCCTGAGGGGTCTTTTGTACCTTCTTTGATTTCTTTGCTTTCCCCTTCTTGTTGGAGTTTTTCTGCAGGGTCTCTGGGGTCTCCTCCTCGCTCTCATCCCCTTTGGGAGGAGCTGCTGGCAGGAACACATAGGGACACAGAAGGGAGAAGATCCTGACTTTGCTGAGCCCCAAAATCAAGCTCAGAACAGACCCATGCCAGCATCAATGATTGTAACCCCCTCCCCTTGCCAAGCTCCCTGCACCCCCAGAAGCCCCACCAGAACCCATCACCCACCAATGCCAAGCTCTCACCTTTCTTTTTGGATTTTTTCTCTTTTGGGGGGTCCCCACCAGTCTGAAAGAGGGATGCTGGGTTTTTCTTCTTCTCTGACCTAATGGGTTTGGTGCTGGAGTCGGAATCGTCCTCCTCATCACTGCTGGTGGCAGCTGTGAGGGACATGGGGGACATAAGGGGACATGGTCACAGAACACTGGGGGCTGTGGGCTCAGGGTGATGCCACCTCCTCCTGCTCATCCTATACCTTTCTTCTTGCCTTTCTTCTCCTTCTTCACCTGGAACACGGACATTGGCTCCTTCTTGGCGCTTTTGGCAGATTTGGCTTTGCTCTCAGGGTCACTCTTGTCTTCTGCTGGGACAGAGGAGCTGGTGAGCAGCCAGCCAGGGGGATGGGAACGGGCAGTGATGGGGACAAGGAGGGGCTCCAGGATTGGAGCAGCAGAAAGGGCTGAGCAGGGGGGAGATTGCTTGGGGAGGGGGCAACGGCCCTGCAGCCCCCTGGGCCCTCCGGGACACTGAAGGCCCCTCCCAGGTCCCAGCAAGGACAGATCCCAGAGCTGGGCTCAAGCCATCCCTGGGCACTCACCCTTGGGCTTCAGCTTCTTCTCCCCCCCGCCCGAGAGGGGCTCTTTGGGAACCTTCTTCTTGAGCTTTTTGGGCGGGTTTTTATTCTCCACCTCTTCTTCCTCTTCCTCATCATCCTCATCCTCTGCCGGCTCTGCCCAGAGGTGACAGCGGCATCAGCCAACACACTGGACAGCCCT